TCTACTGCCCTCCCTCGCTTCAGATTTCCTAACGCTCTCTCAACTTCATTAAGTCTAGGAGGACTCAAATCGATATGCCATTCTGGATGACTGGAGATCGTGGGTAACCAAAGTGTGGCTAAAAGCCAGTTGAACTGATCCCTAAAGTGTTCTGCCCATCGACCCAATCTCCTGGATTGAGAATGGATAATAAGACCATCCCCTTCCGAGATAGTCTCACTTACAGTCGTATTCGTAATACCGGTTTCTTTGATAAGGCGGAAAAGTTGTTTACTGTTGCCTTTTGCCACTGCCTTTTCCATCGCTTTTGCTTTTGTCACCCACTATTGTTATCGGTCCTTGCGTAGGCTTTTTATCAGCCTGCGCTTGAACGACATGGCTCAAAATCATTTGCAAAGGTGCAAGTAAATCCATTCATTGTGCTCTCTCAAATCCTAATCTTCTGGATTCGTCAGCATCCCTACCTTTGTCTTTCTAACCTTATTTCACTGAATTATACTTCTTGAATAATATCTTCAAACCGTAGTCTTCTACCTCTACTATCTCTATCACTATGGGATTTCAACTGACAATTGCGTCTCTGTGCTAATGCGGTATGGCAACCTGAACTTATGTACTTACGTACGAAGTTCTACGTTGTAACTGACTGACTGATGTTTTGATTGGTGCATGTTGTGTTGTAGCTAAGACTCTTGCTTCTTCCCTCGTGTATGTTGACACCTACTGCTACTCTGGTCGTCTTCTTCCGCATTTGTTGTGTGTGTGATAGATGAGTTAGATCATCTGCGAAGTCCAAATCATCTAACTGCATCCGAGCTGTCCACTGCATCCCTTGCGTCTACTGAGATGCTACTACCAGAGGAGAGAGAACGAGTGGAAATGAGGAGTTTTGTTTAACATCGTTCTTCACTTGCAGTGCGTCTGCGATCTGTATTTCCATCAATTTTTTAATGAAAACTATAGAGCCTAACGATTGTTTTAAAGCAAAAATGACCATCAGCGGCTTAGTTTACTAATAGCGGTATGGAAATCGAAGTATAATTTTTCCATGACTGACACTTTCAGATAGAAGGTCCTCTGTACAAATAAAAGTTTAGTTGCAGTAATTCATAAAGATCAGGATATGTTAAAATATTCCGTTCACTAAAATGCATAAACACAAGTACCATAAGTTCCACTGATCACTTTGACCTGTTGCTTATCTTCCATGTTATTTGACATTGTCTGCTGGTTGATTAAGGAAATTATTTCGTGATTAGCTATTACAAACGTTTTCTGTATATACATATACAACTCAGTCATAAAATGTGAAATTTTGGCGTTGAAAAAATCCCGTTTATTTTGGGAGTATATGGGTTGCAACCAGTAGTGTAATCGAGGAAACGCTTTTCGTTCTGTTTGGAGCTTGATAGGTGGATCAACGTATCATATTCCAGTGTCCAGTACCTTTTGCTTCATACATTCACCATGTTAATCACTTAGATAATAAGTCTTAGTAACCACCAACTTGTTTAGCGAGTTTGATGTTTAATGTTCTAAATAGTCGTTTGAATCATCCCATTATTGATATTTTTGTCTAAATTTTGATTTGTTTCGGTTAAAAATATGCGTATCCTGTGTAGATGTAATCGTTATCTTGCAAGTTTTATAGATTAAATGGGTTATAGTTGGTAATGTGATCTTATTAGGAAAGATTACAGAAAAGAATTCACTTCATTCATTTGTCTGTAACCATTGATCGTAAGTACATATCCGAGAGAGAGAGAGAGAGGCGACAAAAGTTGTGTTTTAAAGAAGAAAATGAATTATTTCATAAAACTGTAGAGAGTTATGAAACTATTTGTAATAATAAAATCATGTAAATGAAGAACTATGGTAAAATATCATTTTTCTTCACAAGTATGTGTGTGTGTATTTCTGTGAATATATGAATTCAAAGTTCTATATAAATTAGTGTATATTGTTTTGATAATAATAAAAATCATAAGTAGCTTAAGTTTGCTTACCTAAGTAACGGAGAGAAAAACACACTGGTAAGATAGAGAGGAATGCAGTAGAACAATGACTTATCGTAAAACTTTGTTAACATGTCTTACTGGAGGTATAAGAGTTGGATAAAAAACACAAAAGGAATTTGACTATTTTTTTCATGATGAGTGATGTTTTAATGATCAATAAGTAGTGTTTCAATGTTATTGTTGATTATAAAATAGACAGTTAATTGTGATGAAATGATCATTAAATTAGATTATAGGAGATAAGCATTAGAAATCTCTAGAATTAGATTTTTGTAGAACAGTGAGAGGGCGTAATCGATCTGAAAAATGTGATGTTTTTGCGCTATACATTTCGAACAAAATGCCTTGACAAGTAAATATGTGTGACCAGATTGTTCGAAATGTATAGCGCAAAAACATCACATTTTTCAGATCAATTACGTCTTCTCACTGTTCTATCACAATTTATAAAAGGGACTAATTGTTTTAGAATTAGATTTCATGATTATTGGTTGTACTAATGTACTAAAGTAAATTGCTAAGTGATACGTACTAGGTAACATAACGTCAATTGATGTATATAGTCTAACCGGTTTAGGCGCCAGGTTCGAGTTCAACCTTGTATGTCTCAGTTTGGGTGCCCAAGCAGTGTTACTAACCTCAAAAAAGTGTTGCTCAGGATACAGTATAGAAATACTTATCTGTTTAATAAGTTTCGTTATATATAGATGATGATTATGATGGAGCTACAAATTTTCTCCACCATCTAAAAGTGTATGATTATTATTAGCCTGTCCTAGTGGCTGGTCCCAAAAAAGTTAACTAGAGTTCCAGTGTGATATGTGAGATGGAGTTTACCCATGTTGAGCAAAAGGTATTTATCACGGGCGGTGACAAAAGGTGTTTGAATAACCTTGCTAGTCAATTGAAGTTAAGAGTGGACAATTGGGTGGTAACTCAGCAGTCTGGAGGTAACGTTGACAACGTGAGACATATAGGCTATAGTTTTGATTAATGACAAAGTTGCATGTATGCTGGTGAGGAGTTCCCTTTTAGGATCAAGCAGCCTTCCAGCGCTCTTTGATTTTCTAGCTAAATTATCTCAGTAATATCTCCATAGTCCTTTGCATTTCACTAACTTTCATCTGTTTAAATTGTATTTTATATCAGTTCCAAAAGGGTTATACTAACCGATAGTCATTTTCATTCTTGAAATCTCAGTACTCATCAAAGTATATTCACAAAAAAATTTATGACATCACTCTGTAAAATTTATTATTTGAGCGTTAACAGCATTAGACAGAAAGCTTTAAGAGAGGTTTTATGCTTACTTTCAAGCATAAATTAAATGTTCAAATATTCTTAAAAATAGTCATATTCTGCGCCACTCTTTTGTTGGCGTTATACTGTGTGAGTTCATAATGTAGTAGATGAGATTTTTGCATCTCAAAATCAGCTACACCGAGTTGCTCATGCTGGTAACAAAGCCAGATTCACTGAAATAATTTACCAACTTGAATGAATCCAGGTGCATTCATCCTTTGCCTTCCCTTAGATTTAAAGTTTCTTAATTACCGTCAAAATATTTGTTTAAATTTTCATAAATCCATATTTTACTGAATCGTATGTTCGATTCATAATCTTTTGTAAGATCGCTGATACTGTTACTAACTCGTCTACTCTGCGATTTTTTTTAACAATTTAATCCCTATTTAACAATAGAGTGCAGCAGCTTAAACCAATCTACACTGTATCAGGTTCTGTATGGTGCATGACTGGCTGATCGATTATCAACTCAGAATTCCTTTTGTTTATGTTGTTTTATAGCAAAGACAATACCTTAAGTTATATTGTTAAATCGAACGAGTATCAGTGTGTGTAAAATGCCGTTTCTCCATATTTTGAGGCGTCATTAAATGTAAGAAAGTGAATACTAAGTTTTCACCCAAACAGCCCCTTTTGTTAGGCTTTTTAAGTGTGAATACATATAACCACGATGCAGGCATTAAGTCTGATAAAACGAATAATCCTATTATAGATTGGGATAACCTCTAGTTTCTATTACCCTCCAAATATTTACCACTTTTATACATGTTGTTTCTTATGTTCAATAGTTTGTAATACAAAGTTGTAAAGAGCAAAATTTCATTTTACTTGTTAGTTATCTTATTTTATGATATGATTTTTTTGTGTGGCTTATCAAATGTCACGTATAAGCTAGATTTCTTATCTAATAAGTTATTAACTATCTAAACTCAGTAGCTTAGTGAGAATCACGTTGGGTATTTCGAGTGACAGCTTCTGGGTTCGAACAACAGAGTCAGCCTCAATATTGTAATGTAGCGGAGGCGTCCATCAGACATGCCTCAAATAGGACTAAACGTAAATCCCGTTTTCTACTACTAGCAACAATCTACTTGCTATAAATAAGAAAAGAAATACACCAAAATTTAAAGTTAATCTGCTGCATATAACTGAAAATCATCAATATAATCTTATATACTCATGCTTCAAAGTTATTGACACTGAGTAGTCGCGAAATTATTTTCCAGGCTGCAATCGCTTATCAGTAAAAAAATATCTAGCTAACTAATTACTCACAGAACAACTGATATTTTAATATTGTTCTGACCAGTTATCAAGATCCTGATGTGACTTAGGTATTATTCGCTTTCACTTAATTATCTGTGTAATGAAGAAACTTAAACAAATATGGAAAATAATAATAAGTAAAGTCGTTTGTTAAAAGTAATTCGACCAAGGAAGGGATAAGGGTGTTACAGATTTCTAATGAATGGGTTGCTTGTTGGAGTCTCTGAAGCTTCTGTCATACGTAAGAAATTGTCTCGATTGGTTTATTATGTTGACATGTTTCTAAATGCTACTGTATATTAGAGTACAGCCTGATGAATATCTAATCGAAACCAATATTTGCTGATATATGTTCTAGTTTTGTTACCGATGTTACATTTAATTAAATTATGATTATTTTTGTTTCGTTAGGAGTTCATATGCATCGCAATATGTTCAGGTCTTCATCTAATAGCTATGATTGTATGTGCGTGTACAGTACAAGGTTTTGGCACGGCAATCGCTGCAGCTGTAAGTTGTATTGTACAAATTGGTCCATATAATTTGTGATAAAAAAGGAAATAAATTTTGTTATATTCACATTATTGATGGTTATTTCTTATAATGATAAATCTCAATATTATTCCATTCTGTATCTATTCAAAATTGTTAAAATTCACAAGATGATATTTTAAAAATAATGCATTAAACGTCAAACATCAAAGAAAATATGGTGTTTGTCGTGAAAAAATGGACCATAGAGTAGTTTCGTAGAAGTTAGCCCTGTACTTTATAGGTCTTACTGTCATAGACTGAAATTTATATGGTGAGATAATGTAAGGGAGCTTTACAAAGAATACTTTATTACTTCCCCTCCATTGTGGGAAAGCAATATTTCTGTATATTCTGGTTTTCTGAAGGAAGCAAAATGATTTCATACTACCGTAGAGCCGGAAGTCCGACGTCGCTCTCGAAGTATGAGTTCCTATCATTTCCAACTAACCTCTCTAGTATTTTAGGACTTCAAGTAAAAAAAGTGCGTAGCTGACGTCATCACGGTATGCAAATGCGGAAACCATGACTACAGTCAAAAAAACTTGATCAGTATTTTTTTCACTGTAAGATCCGAAAATCCTTGGTTTGATCATGTTTAGCTATCAATCGAGATTCCGTAACAGTCCTGAAACGAAGATAAGTATTCCAAGATATAAATTTTGTTATCAGTAAATTTGTTTTTCCAATTTGAATATGATAACAGTTTGGTGACCAGTCCAATGCATGAAATCATGATAGGCATATGTATATATATCACACATATGCATCTTGTTTCGTGTAAAATTTAGCAAATTCAACCACTTCACATTTCATTTATCATTTAAATAAAGTGATTAGTGGACTAAGATATAAAACCTTTAACACTGTGATTCTTAAAACTTACCACGTAAATCATATATATGTATTTCTTACTGTGAAAAGTTGTTTTAATATAATTTCAAACTGTAACTAGTGTTCGATACACTTATCGAATAATTTAAACGACAAATCATTGAAGTACAATGAATGAATGGTGAGATACTACATGATTTCTCACGGAATCGTTTATTTACTTAATGTCACTGTAAAACAAGCAGAGTACAAATGAAGATTGTTCATTAAAACAACTCTTTCCAACACTAAAGTTGTATTTATAATGACTCTTATGTATGGTAATCGGTAATAAAACAGAGGGATGTTGTTTCATTTAACAATGTATTCACAAATTATCAAATATGTTTTCAGTTACTTCGTACAGGTCACATGATAGTCTCAAAGGTTGTAAAAAATAATAATTTCTAGGGAAAACGAAAAGGATCATCCTCTATATGATGAATATAAAGTAGTAGACCATAAAAAGACGTATAGTTGGGCAGTAGTATTAAACTTATAAAAAAGACTATATATATTAAAGTAACGAAAGATTCTAGTTTGTGAACACGATATCAAATCAACTGTCTAGCGAAACCTTATCGTGACTGTAGTCAATCTTATCATTATGAAAATGAATAAAAGATACAGAAATGTTGGGCCAATCAGCCGTCGCCTGACGAGACGGGTATTCTATGATCATCAGAAAATGTTCTGAAATCATCACTAGTCAGGAAATCGCTAAATAGACTTTCTTTTCTGCTCTTGCTTTCTCGCTCAAGTAACCAGTTAGGGGGAGTGGTAGCACGCATCACAATCAGATTGGACACAGTGAACCATTCCAACAATAAAGCATTTTGGAAACCTTTTTCGAATGTTTCGTGTTCTACCTAATCTGTGGTTATTTATCATTGAAGTGTGTTATAATGCGTTCAAGTTGGTTGTTGGTTTACACGGGGGTTTAGGATGCATGTCCAGTTGCATTTGGGACTTGTTAACAGCATGTATTTGTATCCGAGCGTCGATATTGACATTGAGACGGGAACACAATACCTTTCGCTATAAATCACAGCTCTTTATCCATATATCTAGATCCTGAGTCCAGGAAATCACTAGTTTATGCAGCTGACATGAATTTTATTCATGACATCCCAAAAATGACATAATGCGCTTCTTGGATTCCGCTGCTAGCGACTAGCTAATTTATTTTAGGAAACTTGTGACTAAGTAACTAAATCTGGGGGATCCCCTAAGGACGCATATATTGTAAGATGTTTTTTATATTTTTGTGTGGATGTATATGGAAATCCCAACATTTTTTACGTTTCGTGTAACTATAACACTTAGTTTTATCTTGAATATAATTATTGTTTTCAATATATTCATTTGTGCATTCCGTTTATAGTTTGACTGCAGACGACATTGTTAGTGATCACTTAACTTATGACGTCGGTTTTCTTTTTCGGTGTCTCAGTGTTGTTTTGGAGGGTGGTTCTTACTGATTGTGTTAATTTCTTTCTAATCGCACTCTATTTTTGGCGGCTGCGAAATTGGTAGTTTGGGCTTGGAACTGTTGCTGCTTGAAATGATTGAACTGATTTATTGTGTAATGGTAGCATTATTCGTAATTAACTTTATGATTAAACTCATCATGATAAGAACCGTACTCAACCCAACTATCCTGTTTTAAGCTATCTTTGGGGAAGCACAAGTATCTTATGTTTTGCTGGCGGCTATACATAACTCAAACTACAGCAGGTAGGATCTTATATGTCGCATTACAAAAGAGACTGACAAATTACAGTCCTTAACATCAACAATAGGAAGACTCATACCATTATGAACCAAATCAAGAAAAAATTCTATTCCAATTGCATGATCTAGTTGTTTGTTATCTGACATCTAATACCGCTTATCGGGGTTATTGTCAGTCAGTAAGTCACTTATAACATAGAACTTCTTATGTACGTACATCAGTTCAGGTTGCCATACCACATTAGCACAGAGACGCAACTAACAGTTACCATCCCTATTTAGAACTCGTTTCCTAACAACAGCATTGCTTGCCCGGTCGTCCCAGGGTATGCGAGCAATGCCTCAAAGACATCTATGATCGAATACTAATAACCTACGAATGTCTTCTACTCTTAGCGGCCATGCTTTGCATCCATACAGTAGGATGGAGTACACTGCTTCGCAGTACACTTGTCCTTTGGTTAGCAAACAGATATCTTGCCTACGTCATAAGTGACGAAGATTGGCAAAAGCCAATCAAGCCTTCTGTATCCGTGCTGGGATTTCGTCAGTCACCAGGCCATCAGCACTGATCAGACTCCCGAGATAAGTGAGGCGATCGACGCGCTCAACTATTTCACTCCCCATCACTAGTTCCGGTGCCGATGCAAACATATCTGGAAGCAACATTTTGCATTTCGAGGGTGAGAACCGTATCACGAACATGTGTCTTTGTTCTAGGACCTGACTCAGTGTGAATATCTGGTCCATACATCCATGTCCATGTCGTAAACCAGCCTGGTTTTCTCTAGTCTGCACTTACGAGCTTTCTTTAAGCGTTGGATCATTGTTGAGGCCAATATTTTAGATACTATATTTGTTAGACTGATTTCTCTTTGATTGTCACAAGAAAACCTTTGTCCTTCCATGTAAATTGGGACGGTCAGCGATTGAGACCAGTCAAATGGGATTACGTCCAGTTCCCAGATTCTGCCTAAGATTTCAGCCAATCTAGCTGCTAAAACTGGACCACCATCCTTATAAATTTCAAGAGTTAGCCTATCAGGACCTCCTACTCCAACTAGCTTCAGATTTCATATCGCTTTCTCAACTTCGTAAAGACTAGGAGGACTTATATCGATTTGCCATTCAGGATGACTGGAGATCGTGGGTAACCGAAGTGTGGCCGAAGGCCAGCTGAACCGATCGCTGAAGTGTCCTGCCCATCGATCGAATCTCCTGGATTGAGAATGAATTATGCAGCCGACCTTTTCTGAGATAGTTCCTCTGACTGATGGATTTCTAATACCGTTTTCCTTGATAAGTCATAACAACTATCTGCTGTTGCCTATCGCCACTGTCTTTTTCATCTCTTTCGCTTTCGCCACCCACCACTGTTCGCAATCATCGCGTAGGCTTTTTATCAGCCTGCGCTTAAGCTGACTTTGCTGTTCGTCGTTTTCAGAGCCAGGTGGAATGAGTTTAGGAGCGTCTATCATTTCAGCGGATGCTACTCAGCTCCATGGCTTATCCCTAACCTTGTGGTTTGCCTTACTAGCAGATATCCACAGCTTTTTGGACATCGTTCCAAGCCGCCTCAGGGTAGGAATTTCTTACTGCATGGCTGCCTAACTGTTTTCCTAGTTATTCCTGAAAGATATTCTTAGCTCTGCTATCATTAGGTAGAACCGTAAGAGGTTTCCTTGCGGTGTATTTCCTGCGTCCAGTAAGTCGCAAACATATACGCGCTCGCACTAGTGCATGATCTGAACCTAGACATGTGCCCCGACATGGCCGCGACGCCCCTAGATCTACGCAACTGTCTTTCCTTCTCACTTCGTTTACCTGCTGGAGCATTGAAGTCACCAGCCATTATAACTATATCGGAGCGCCTAACATTTTGGAGGATGTCCGAAAGCTTTCTGTGGAACTCATCTTTTACCTCGTCTAAATTGCAGTCAGTGGGATCGTAGGCGGATACGGCGAAGGAGAAACGGCGAATGTCCTTATCTTTCCAAGCCCTTACGACCCCGTTTAGTCGGACAGCGCACAAGCGACTATCTACTGGAAATCAGTCTAGCAGCGTTAGTTTTTCCCTAAGACTCAATGCTATATTTACGCCAAGGGGCCTCAGGGAAGCAGCAGCATAGCTTCTAGACAAACGGAGAGTAAAACGAGTGGCTTCTTTATCTTGACATGGATAGGTCAAGTGAATGACGCTACTTGGATCCTGTGTACGCGTTTCCGAGACGCAATATACATCGATCGCACGTATTCCAGAGTTCTAGCTAATGAAGTCTGTTGCCCTATTAGGCTCAATTTTTGAACAATAAAAGCTCCAATAATTAATTTAGTACGGGGTTTCAGGAGACCAGAAATAACGTTTCGAGAAC